AAAAAATGTTTCCTGTTGGAAGGGGCACCCTGTTTGGTCAGGACAACCCACTTGGCTGGGTCAAAACCAGGTGTCACTGCTGGGCGCCGACATCGATCGATGCAGATGGGTGGATGGATGAGGGCAGCTTTTTTGGAAATACCCCTTGAAGAGTGAAAGATCCATACTCAATCCACCCTGGGTGATTTCGTGCCCAACATCCATTCTCCTTGGACATGGTGGACGATGAGTGAACATGACGGACCGTGGGCAAACCAAGGGTCGCAGTGGGGGTTGCTGTTCGGTGCGGCGAGGGGAACCGACTTCGACACGCAGGTGTGGCACCATTAAGTTTTTTTAAATATATTTTACCCTCCAAGTCGATGACCTGGCTCAAGGGCAAAAGTTGCCATGCAACCGTTGCTGACTAACATCCAGAGATGCTCCAAGTGTGCTGTCAAGATGCAACACCCTTTTTCATCATCTTCTGAAACTTCTTCTCCTTGGCTGATCTCTGTACAGTTTCCGCTATGATCTCATCCAAAGGCCAGTGATAGTAGTATCTGGTCCTTGTGTGGCCAACTCCACTTAAAGTCACCATTTCCCATGTCAAGTTGCTGGCATTCCCATCTTCTTGGCCAAATCCTCCAGGCGGATCTCCCTGCCCTCATCCACCAGCCGTTGATCATAGAAGTCCTAGCCAGGCTCAGGTGGGTGCTCTCCATGTGAGCACACAAGTCCAACTCCAAAGATCTAGTCAGTGGTCGTGGTTCCTCTATGCAGCTCCAGCATCATGTGAGCCACAGTCAAAACATGCAAAGACCACTTTTTGAAAGAGGGGTAGGTTTGTGCTCACAACCCTGCAAATGGATAAGGTCCAACTCAAAACCGAATCAGGAGTTTTGACAGTCCCTCATGTCAGTTTCCAAATGGCCTGGCCTTCAGCACCTGAACAAGCAGCTCCCGTGGCTTCGAATCCGGCATGGCTTCGAGACGTGACCCCCGCCCCAGTCGAGTCCTAGGGATGATCGTGCAGAAACACTGTTGCCTTGCAATGGTGCTCCCTCATCCAGCTCATCCAGCCAAATGGCCACATCAAGATCGGCTCATGTATGTGGTTCTGCTCAGAAACACCAAAAATTTCCTACTGCGGTTCTTGGCTTAGCCGCTTGCCATCTAACTGCAACTTCTTGGTTCCTAGCTGCGGTTCTTGGCTTGGCCGCTTGCCATCCAGATATCCAACCAAACAACCACCAGTTTCCTCTCCAATTCTATTCAAAAAAATTCAATTCATCATCCCATCGCGGTTCTTGGCTTAGCCGCTTGCCATCAAACACCCTGTTCCCACTGCTTGTCCATCCCAGTGTCCATCCCAGATTAGACATGGCATGTGCACCTTCATCTTCGACGATAGGCTCCCAGGCTTTCCGGTGATGAGCTATTGCTCGCCGCATCCCAACGCACGAGGAGGGAAGTGAGGCATGAATGCATGCAAATGTGTGTTCATGCCCTACAGGTGAAGGGCCTAATGTGACTGGATCCAGTATTCAAAACCAGTACTCCATGAGGTCAAGGACCCATGTCATCTATGTTGAGGCCTCAAATTGGGTCGCCTACAAAAATTTGCTGTAAAATACAAACAACGAGCCTCCATCTGCAGGTGACCCCAGTGGTTCCTAGAGGTGATCCTACTGCGGTTCTTGGCTTAGCCGCTAGCCATCCAGAAGCAACCCTTAATGGCTCCTAGCTGAAATCCTACTGCGGTTCTTGGCTTAGCCGCTTGCCATCCAGACATAACCTCTTGGTTCCTAGAAGACATCCTACTGCGGTTCTTGGCTTAGCCGCTTGCCATCCAGCAGTTACCCATGGTTCTCTACTGCGGTTCTTGGCTTAGCCGCTTGCCATCCAAAATACCAACCAAAAAGGAGCAGGTTTCCTTACATATTTAACTAAATCCACCTCTCAGGAGACAATGAACACAATTCAGGTTTTGATGGGGTCAAGTAAAAGGTGTTCAACGTAAAGTTAATAGTGTTCAATGTCTTCATATTGAGATGGACAAGTTTTACGAGGTCATCGACTTGGAGGGATATATATAGTCATCATGTTGTCACGTCCCATTTTAAGGCTACCTGAAGTCGGGTCCGGGCAGCCTGCTAGTGTGGGTGATCGTGCCGGTCGGATGGAGCTGCGACCCAGGAGGAAGCTTTGGAATTTGAGACGCCTTTTGATCAACTCAAACAGAACATCAAGGACCTCCGATCCAATAGTCATAGAGAGAGGCAGTTCGCATGGACATTGTCTCGTTTCGGTCATCATGCCCAAGGAGATAGACAGATTAGACTCGACAGACAGTTGGATGGACATTTGTTCTATACCGAAATGACATTGATGTATGCACCCTAGATCAGTCTATAATAGTCTATACCACAGTTCGATAGACATCCTGGTTGTTGATCAGGGTGGGAGCAGCGCCGTTCCGTATCCTTCCATCATGCAGGATGCCTTCCTTCAGCCCAACCAGGAAGCCTTAGCAGCTTGGATCAAGGTCAAATCTCCTAGAAAACTGGACACCACCTTTCTCGCCTCCAGAGTGGGATCAGTTTCCTCATGTTTCCTCCCAAGTTGTCCTTTTGCCTGCCAAGTGATCGCACAAATCTGACATTTGTTGACCCTTGCGACGCTTTGTGATCCGGTTCACCGTCTTTGTTCCCCACGTTCCGCACCTCCACCTCCATGTGTTCCTGAAAAACAGGGGGAAGACTTTCCTTTATGAGGTCATTTTCCACTTCCATGTTAGTGAGTTGGAGTGTATGGCTTTTTTGGATGGCGATGAACTTCCGTTGGCGACTCCAATCTTTCGAGTTGGTCACTGGCGTGAACAACACGTGCTCAAGTGCCCGGCTCGGCTAGCCGCTGCAAAGCATGGGTGTCTTCAAAACGGCCAAAATCATCCAATCCGTTCTTGATACAATCGGAAACGCTCCGGACTCAGCCAGAGGCATCATCATTCACAGTTTCGTGGTGATCAAACCGGACGCGTGGATCCCTTGTTCGTTTGTTTGTTTTTGTGTGTGTGTGCGTGGTTGTGTGCGTTTGGGGTCTCTCTGAATTTTCATGTGTGATTTGTGTACATTGCTTTTCACTTTGCTCGCTTCTTGGTGTTCTTCCAATCTTTTCTTGCCCATTTCGTGAATACCCCAAGAACTAATCACTGCATTGCATCATAAGTGCCAACAAGTGCAACAGCTCAGACTTGAGGGATGCGCAGCCGCATGAGATCGACACTGACATCGCAAGTATCCTATATACAGCATGACCATGCCTTAGTGCTTCATGCGGGCAGGGTGTGCGCCACGCATCACGCAATCACACTATCATGCTTATTGATCTTACTGCGCTTGCTTCGGGACGAGCCTCAGATCCTGTAGGGAAAACCAAGTGTAGCCGGGCCAACAGTTGTTTGGCATGTGCGAGTGCGCAGGCGTCCACCCATACCAAACGCGGGATGCGCCACGCCATAGCAAGCAGGGTGACGCAAGACTTTGCCGACTAACTGAACCACTTGAGAGTGGAGTGTTGTGGGGTGGGCAAATGGTTGGCAACCTCAGTCTGTCGCTGTGCTATTTGTAGACCAAGCACGCGCGGAGAGTTTGGGGACTGCACGCGCATCGGGCACCGCGTTGCCACTTGTCGGCCAACTGGGCTGCAAGGATTTCAGGACGATGCACGATCGCCGTAACTTTTTCGGGTTGCACTCGTGGGGCGGGTGAATGATGCAGGAGAATAGTAGTTAAAGGGTGCCATGATGCTCCCCTAAGTTTGGGCTTGAAAACTATATGCAGTAGCCGCTTTGACACAGTTGTTGAGCACCCCATAAAGCACCATTAGCATTTCAAGGTGTCACAACTTCAAATTTCAACATGCCAAAAAACCTGGGACCATGGTTTCCGTCAAGGCCCGTGTTTCAAACACACATCAGCTGCACCCCGCCATACCAGCTGGGCATTGGAAACTTAATGAAACTTACAAGTGAACCCCTTCCGGGAATAAAAAAATAACATGTTCGAGGGCCCGCAAGGGGTGGTTAATGGACACCCCTTAACCTCTAAGGGGCTATCAATAGAAGCCCCTGGTCTGGGGGGTCCTGGCTTGTGTTTACCTAATTGGGTCAGAACCGACCTTGGAGGTCCCGCAAGAGGAGGCCGTGGAATTCGAGACGCCCATCTCGCAGCTGTCCAGCTTTCGACCGGAGGACAGACCGTTGGCTCTCGTGAGAGTGCTTGAAACTGCGCTGTTTCTCTCGCAGCGTGAGAGTGGAGGGATGTTAAAGGGTTTTGGTGGACGTATGCGGTCACATGTGGCGTATACTACGCAGGTGGTCGGAGGTGGTCCGACTTAATCGTCATGTCAATGTGTGTGTTTTTGGAGGTTTTTGGGTCACATTCCTCGCCATGGATCGGGTGTGTTGTGGACGTCCCGAACCCCGGACGTCGCGACGGATCGTTTGGATGTTCATTTCACGCCGCCGAGGGAAAAGGACGACGAACGAGGGCAGATCTCCGACGTTCATGGTGAGTGGGGGTGTTCCGGCGTCAGGGTGAAGCTGGTCGCCTTTTCTCACACTGTTAGTTCGGGCAGCACTGACCTTCGAAACACCCTTGAAACACACGGGTTTTTCGATGCCAGGAGTTGGAAACGCCCTTGGAGTGGATCAAGAAATCTGTGAAGAAGGACCTGGTGAAGTTGTGATGCTTCGGAGGGTGGGAGGATTGAGCTCCCTGGGCACATGACGCAGTACACGACAGGTAGGGATCTATAGGACCATCCAGCCATGCTTCGGGGCCTAGCCAACCAGTGACGTGTGGTCGGAAAATGATACAGCTCGACGAGACTAACAAGAAAGACGCATGGATTTGTGTAGCAAGACACCAGCTTCCTGACACGTGCCTTTCATGTTTCGACCATGGCGACCGGAAGAAATGGCCTTTCAGTTGCATCTTTGGTCAATCAAATGGCCTCAGGGAAGCTTTGCCACTGAAATTTTGCCCAGAGATCAGGCATGATAAGCCCTTGGCGCCTGCCTTTGTGTCAGAAGGGGTTCATCAGCAGCTTCCCAGTCACAGCTTCTCAGGAGAAGCTGGTGCCGGAAGGGGAGGCTTTGAAGTTTGAAACGCCCATCTCTATCTTGTTTCAAGAAGATGAGGAGCTCCTCGGCCAAGTCCATTCTTAGGAGTCCTCATATAGATTGGGGTGCAGAAAACGGGGCTTTACTATGACATCTTACACATGCATGCTTTATATAGATAGTTGATCTAAGTGATGCTTGGTCCTTCCTGACCGTTTTGAAGTGACCGGTAGACCGCACACTCACTTGGCCCACTTCGCTGCAGCTGAAGAGCTGCAGGTTGGAAGCTGAAGAGCTTTGGTCCGATCTGCTGGCACCGTTGCTGGAGACAGATGCAGCACCTGGATGGATTTGTTTTGACGCCTTTTGATTTTTCGGTGGAGACCTCTCTCTGGGTTGCGGGGTGGTCTCCGGTGGAAACCGTGGAATCAGAGGGATGTGGGGAACCGGGAGAAGACCGAGCTTCAGGGCGAGACGACCATGCTTTGGATGGGATTCGATGTGTTTTTCCGTCTTTGTCGGGCGTGCTTTGGGGGGAGAGATCCTCAGATGAAAGAGGCCAAGCTGCCGGAACTGTGGGGTCTTGGCTGATGTGCCGAAGTTGGAACTCTTTTGCTCTCTCTCTCTCTCTCTTTCAGACTCGCGAGTCTGACGAAGCGGACGAGGTGGACACCATGAACGAGAGCAACTACCTCACGGTCACCGTGCAGAAACCGTTCCTCGGAGAAGCCGATTTGGGCGAAAGACGGCCGGGTCGGAGTCTGAAGGCCGACGGCCGAGTGGTACCCACTCAGCTGAACTGAATCGACATCAATTCACCATGCTGCCATGCAGTGAGTGTTTTCTGAGGTCCGCTTCTGCGTTAAAGAACGCTCGGTGATGCGGACACTGGCATGTCGGCATGCCTCATTATGTGAGGAAGAATCACACTATATGAATAAGATTGAACAGGCAATAGTTGCAACTCTAAGATGCTCCTCACTACTACCCAAGTAGAGGTCCCTGCAGTTAAAATCCCTTACTTGTTCAATACTGTCCGCATTCAGTGCGACTTGGCGCTTGGAGGGAGCAAAACGGGAGAGCCGGGATGGCGGTGTGCCAGCCAGCTACCGCAGCACGTCCGCGCAGCTCAAGAGTCTCAAGTGCATGGGGGCGCCGAGGGAGCCAACCCATGCTGTCCAGCTCCTTGCAGCGGTTTCGGCAGGATCTCGTGCGAGCAACATGGGTGGAGGAGTGGTGATGAGTCCCATCTCGTTGCACCAATCCTATCCAATCCTCCAAAAATGATCAACCTGGTTCACACTGCGGGTTTCTGTGTTTCTCACCATGTTCGTTTGCAGTGGGGTGATATATACCCCCCAGATGATGAGGGTTGTTCAATCATATTCAATCTAAGTATAGAGGAGGGTGATTCATCAAGAGCCTACGGTATAAAGTGACTTAGTTACTTTGTTTAGCCGCCGGTTTTTCATTGGTCCTGCGGCCTGCGTGGCCTGGCTGCGTTCCACTGGGTTGCCCAGGTGACTTAAGGACTTGGATCAGCAAAGAAAATCCACAGCCATGGCCTGACAGCAGGTGAGCCTTTGCCAAGCTTTGGATTAACTCGTACTAACTTTGGATGTGTTCTCCTGCCATTGCAGGGAGTCCAAGCCTTCAATTCATCAAACAAATCTCTGGGGGCGGGGGTCCAAGACTTATGGAATCTAGAACATAGGGCATTTAGGTGATCCGAACACGGGCATAATATAGTTTGACTAGTCTTAGGGTCTACACACCATATGCCATTGTGCCACCCGTGGGCTTGCAGCACCAGCTCGCAGCACTGATGGGCCAGCCGAGGCCTTGATGGGCTAGCCGGCCTGGCCCATGCTTTTGCGCGGAGAAGCCTTGCCCCAGTGGTGAGCTGTCTTGGCAAGGCCTGTGGAACTTACTCAAACAGCAGAGTGGTAGTTTGGGTTCGGAGTTTCGGATTGTGGAAACTGCATGTCTTTTGGATGTTTTTGTTTTTTTCAATTCCTTCACTTGTGCTGTCAGAGATCCCCCATGACAGCTATTTGGACATGTGGGTGTCGGAATGCTCTCCATTGCTACAGGACAAGCACCCCCCCGTCATCTCAGTTCCAATCTGGCCGACATCGTGCAACATATCCAACTCCTCAAGATTTGAGCTCATGAAGTCTCTCCATTTCCCATTGCTGTCAAGACCCTCACCATCAGACTCGGACCAGTTCGGAGATTGACAGACTCAAGACTCATTGGCACGTCCCGGTCGTAGCCCCACTGGGCCATGGGAGCCACCTATGGATGCCATGACCACCTCAACCACGAGTGCTCCGACAACAGGTGATCTCAGAGCCTGCTGAACCGCATCCTCGACTGATCGAAGCACCGGGACATGTGAGCCAATGGCAAGGACTGGCCCAAGAGTCGACTCAAGTCGAATCCGCTGGAGCGAACCGTCTGGGGGAGAAGAGCGAACCGTCTTCCAGAGCGAACCGCGTCCACCTGGCGCAAGTCAGGGTTTCACGAGCACCAGGGGCCACGGGTCCACAAGTAGCCAGACACTCCATGGGGCCAGGGCCGGGCCAGGGTTGAGAGATTCAGATCTGACTGCATAACCAATCCACCTGCATGTCGGCGCGCCAGGAGATCCGTCAACATGCATTTCCATGGTGGATGAGGTCTATCGGGGCCCGCTGCTGCTGCGGCCGCCCAACAAGCGCAACTGACCAGAAAAACAGGTCAACAGGTCGCCTCAAGCAGGGCCTGTTGCCAGACAACTGAGCTGTTGGAATAAAACGAGGTTTCTAATCTCTTCACGGGTCAGCATGGTATGGATTAAATCTTTTTCAGGTTGAGACAGGCACGTTTGGAACAACTCCGGACAATTATGTCAGAGTGTGGATTTGTTGTGCTGCAACTTGTGGTCAAATGGTGTCCTACTTCAAGAGACACTTGCATAGGCTGCATCGAGCTGCACACATGACATTTTGGCTTGTAAGACTCTTGTAGGCTGCATGAAACCGGCACGACTGATTGGATGTGTGAGAGGCATCTACATGCCAGCAGTAAATCATTCAATTTCATGGATAGACTCTGATCGATCAGATTTGTTTAAACAACAGCCGGGGCATTCTATTCCTTCAGGTCTTGCTTATTGACTATGTGATGTATCCACCCACCTGGAATCAGACGGGTTTTGAGGAAGGAACCTGAGTCTTCTGGAGCTGCAGTTGCCATCGCCCGAACCTCGCAGTGCTCACACTGAGGCAACAAGACTAAGGGCTTGGAGGAGAGGTGGTGGCTGGAGTATGATCCGCCCAAGGCCAACTACATCAGCGGACAGGGCCGTGGCCCCCATGGTGGGAATAGTATCAACAAGCAGACGCGAGGCAGAAGATGAAGGGAAAGGATCGTCATAAACATACAAGCACTTGTGTTAAGTCGTCTGGTCTTGTAGAAAGTCGTCTGGATGTAGCAATTGTGTTTTAACATAAAACGGGTGACTTTTCGCGAGCCGGGTGACTTTTGACTAATGCTGCGTTTCCATGCGGCCGGGTGACTTTCTGCAAACCCGGGTGACTAAACCCCAGCGCTAGTATGGGCGTGTGTTTTCATAGGGGGTATCCAACCAATGGGTTTTGCTCTATTTTCCTTCTTCCAGGGGGTGACCGCAGCCACTCACGCAAGGAACTGGCCGCGGCAAATGGTGCCCATCAAGTACAAGCAACGATGGGAGAGACGGGAAAAGCTCCGCTATGCCTTTCGCAAGCATGGCTATGAGCTGGACGTGCCCAAGTTAGGCGGGTGAAAGTAATGTCCATACCAACCCCTCCCTTCCCTGGATCGTGTGTTTCCACTAAGTCACAGGTGAGTCAGGTGATCTCTTCATATTTGCCCCGTGAGGGTTCCAGGGAAGAGGGGAAGAGATCATATTGACGGTGTGGCTTCCAGCGAGGAGGCCACCGAGTGACGGAACTCGCGAGAAGAGGCCTGCTTCGCATCAGAAGAGGTAAATGAGGAAAACCAGTCTCCAAAGATGCTGCATTCTGTGTAGAGGGAGGCAGGTCACATGACATCAATAGAATTGTCTATGGGAAAAGGGAAGGTCAACGCCCCATGATGCTCTTTTGCACCACATAGGACCTAGGAGCGACGACATGTCACTACTACAACATGCAACAACACCCGTTACTTAGTACTTGCTTCTTCTTCTTCTTTCTGCATGATGGATGATCGGGAGGGTCGTTTAAAGGGTCGTCACCATCAGCCCGTTTTGGACACCTGTGGAGTGCTGACATCGACCTCCAGTGCTTCCTTTCGGAGTTCCATTCCTCATCGACCTGAGCGGATCACGAGCGATCCATGTTTCACCCGTCCAGCCGCAAGCGCTCGCGGCAAGAGGCAAAATGGAGATGGATGAATAGGCTACACACAGGATGGTTGACGAAGACCTTACGGAAAATTCGGGGTTTGACTTGCAAGCTGTTGATATCCGATGCCGCTTTCAGATAAACCCTGACTTTGACTGAGACCTGCATGCATGGCACGGGTCTCCAAGATGCCATCCTATCCAACCAGAAATCTAACGAGCGTGTGTTTTTCGCATCATCCCTCAAGGGTCGTCCCCCACACAACCCGTGTTGAACTCATCAGCTTGATGCTCCGGCAGCGGGTGTGGCGTGCTTGGAGCCCCGAACCCAGGCTTGGGCTGACGGTGGAGGAGAACTCCAAGGTCGCTGGTGGTGGCGTGGCGGTGTGTGGACTGGAACCCAACTCCAACGCGGAGCGTGGCGTGGCCGAGCGACGGCGAGCGGCAAGCGGCGAGCGGAAGGGGCTGAGGAAGGTGGGTCGTTGAAAGCGGTTGAGGATTTGGGTGTGGTGGTTGCGGTTGCGGTTGCCCTCACCTTCTGTCAGCCTGGTATAGATGGTATAGGGAATTTAGAACCATGTTGTGACATGTGCATTCATATACCTGTGTATACATGAGCAATTGAAAGGCCCTCTCACCTCATAAAATGCTCTCCACAGCATTTGTCGAGGTGCTGGCTTGCGCACGGGGCTGCAGCTCTTAGCTGCTGGTGGTGTTCCAGCAACGGGACTGAAAAGCCTGATGAGCGAGATCCGTGGTGGAAGCCCCCGGCAGACGAACCAGCTTGTCCCGAAGAGCATTACAGTGGAACGTTGGCAGTCTTCCAGTGAGGGTAGGGCATACTTAGGATCAGTTCCAGGACTGACATTATTGATTCCTGTTACATCCATCAGTGATCATGAATGAGTGGCTGCAGATCTGAATTCGTTGTGTTTGACAATTCTGCCACTCAACTTAGGAGCCCTCCGATTTCCGAAACAACAAGAAGTGAGACACCGTGGAAACAACTTATACAGTATTGAATGGACACTGTCACACACATATATATATATATATATTATATTATATATTATCACAAACCTGTAGCACAGAAACATGTAACAAAAACTGACATCGATAAAACACATGACCATAATAAGAGGTTCTCAACATGGTGAGAAATTGAACCTGTTTCATTACCCCAAATAAAGAGGCGCCCCGGGGCCCGAGGTCCATGGCATGTCCCTGGAGGACGCGATCCAGCCGATCGAGGCGGCGGAAGACCAGGCGGCGAGAGAAGACCGGCTGTTGGACCAGAAGTTGATGTGGGGCACAAGTCACCTAGCCACGGAAGAGCATAATTCCCCTCTAACAAACGTGTCAAGTCTCGCACCACCAACCTGAGACCAATGAACACTGACAGTGCCAGCGCATGGCGTTGCAGTCCATGAGTAGCCCCATGAATAGCCCCTTACTTGATCTTACTTGACATCCCAATCCAAGAACGCGTGCATGCTATGCTCTACTGTAACCAAAGTGGACCTTAAAACAAAAGGCACTATAAGAACTAGCAGAGCATATATCATATAACGAATATAGTATTAGGTATTAGATGGTATGAGTATAGGTTATTTATAACATGACTCTGAAGGGCTTTGAGAGCAATATCATATCAACCAACGGACCAACTGTAGTGCGTGGGCTTCATTTCGCCGAAAAAAGGTGCAGCTCACCTTCTTCATGGGCAGTGCAGCACCTTTGCTGAGAAGATTTGGGATGTGTCAGGCATGTGGATCGATCGCAACCTACTGAGCCATTCCACAAGGGCATTGCATGGTGTGCTTTTGTTCAACACTCTCCACGCTTTGTTGGGTCCGCTCTGGATGCCTGAGCACTTTGACGTTGGTCTCTCAAAAAGCCGGGCACCCTGCACGCCATCCCCACGGCCACAGCTCAGGAGGCCTTCTATGGAGTTCTAGGGCCCAAACCTGCGTGGCTCTCGTCCTTCCTCCACAAGCTGCAAATCCAACACTTGGCCTGGCAGTGGCAGGACCTGAACCCAAACACCCATGCGTCACCGCGCAGCCGAATCCTGCGCCAGCGAAAAAGCGCGCGATATTGCCCAGAGACTCCATGTATGCCATATTTGCCTACATTGACCCCCAAAACCACCCCAATGTAGGCATATATGGCAAACGTGGAGCGTCTGGGTAGTATGATATCGTCCGCCCGCCGTCCTTGAACCGTTCGCTCCGGCTCGACCGGAGCCGATGGACCGATAATGGCAGCGGATGGACCGGCTGCTGCGTGAGAACACTTTTGGATCTTTTGATGTTTGGGATGTGATCTGACCATTTTAGACTTCAAGTCAGTAGAAGTGTTGCTGATATGACCCCTTCCCGGTTGATCTCCAGACATGAAAGAGGTTTTTGGTCTTAAAACATTTGAAACTCTTTACCCACTGCCTATCTTCAATGATCTTTTCAAAGCCCAGACCAGTGTGGCAGGCCTTTTCCGCTTCAACCACCGGTAACAATAGCTGCTCATGCCCCTCCCCTCCCCGGTGCCCGCCAGGAGGGCAAGACACCCCAGGGACGGACCTGGAGCTGGGCGGCTTCCGCTGCACGGAGCCGGTCGAGCGGAGCGGTGGAACCGGTGGAAGGAGAATGCACATGAGGTGAACTGTAGTGATGGTGTAACCGGTGGTTTTTGATGGTGTAACTGTGTAACTATTTGTTTGATGCTAATCTTTGCCTAGGGCCTAAAATGGTTGTTTGTCCAATATCCCTTATACAGTTACAGGATGTTACAGGTGGTCTAGAACCCGTGCTTTTGAGGCGGTGCTTCAGCGGCCCTGTGTCAAAAAAACAACATTTGGGACCGATGGGTTCTCCACTGACATCCAGGAGAAGAAGAAAAAACAAACAAGCATCCGCGTGGCCTCAGCTAGCGAGGTAGCATATAGATGCAGATTCTGCTCAAATCTGTTCAAAGGATGTATGGACATCAGTATCCCGATTTCTCTCCTCGATAGCAATGCCTGGATAGGCGGCCCGTGCCTACTGAGGCTTTAGAGCTTCTAGATGAACTACGGGAAAGCGACGTGGATGAGGACGCCCCATGCCTCCTCAGTTTGTTGTGTTCTTACTTGGGGGGAGAGGAGGTCAAACTCGGGGTGTGACAAGAGGTTGGCAAATTGCATTCAATTGCTGATGAAGTCGAAGGTCTTTTTGTTTGTGACCGGTGTTCCAGATTCTACAAGCCAAAACGCAGCAATATACAAATTAAGAAGAACATGATAGAGTCCTGGCAGAACTCCCTGTGTTCATATGAAAGTGCATGAACCAATGATGGCACACTAGGACTCACTCAGGTCCGAAGCTCCTTTTCGAATCAGAGGTGGGGCAGGAGCATTCGTGTTGTCATTCCTTGAGGAGACCTACTCCAATGCAGTGGTCGCTGCCATGGAGGCCCAGCACCAGCGCCTGACTCTGAGGTGTTTTCTGCTGGTGGAGGTGGAGATTGGACACACCAAGAACGCGTGAAGGAAGTTGAAAGGTCCCTGAGTCCCAAAATCTCAATCAACTCAGGTTGCATAAGCACATTCAATCACCCAATCCCAACGGATTTGTGAGACAACCGCTTGCCTTTGCACCTGATTCTCACCTCTATAATTTACTTCAAGTCTCCTTGAGGTGCTGATTCTTTTCCAATGGTGTGTCATGTACTTGGAAATCTATGTCACACCAAATGTTGAACAGGGCGAGGTCTTCCAGAAACTCTTTCGCACAACCAAAAAGGGTCTTCAACACGTCAAAACAACTCTCCCCACAACCTTCAAAGTGACCTTTCTCGCTAACCCCCAAGACAATTTATATACATCCAGCCGCACAAAGGCAGGCACCCCAACAATTCCGGAGGTCCACTACCGTCAATTAAGTCCAATTTCCGTATGCCACGCGACCGATCCTTATTCCCGCGCTTGTTGGAGGCCTGTCAGAAGGCCTCGCGATGGCAACCCGCTCTGAAGCTCCTGGATGACCTTTGCGCCTCCAGCGCCGCCGCGGACCTCCGCGCCGCCTACCGCGCGGCCGTGGTGACCTGCGACCGGGGTGGAGAGCCACTGCGAGCAATGTGGCTGCTGGAGCCACGGCTCCACCGGGGTATGTTAGAAAAGCAACATGAATCGAATCCCCACTTGAAAAGAAACAGTGAGAAGCTCACGGCTAGTTAGCCGTGAACAACACCCAAAAAACACATTGTTGGGTTCGGAGATGGCAAGTTCTGTGTGGAAAAACACCCTTTTATATACCTCAAACCGATGGTTTTCAGGGGGGATGTGTGTCAAGAGTCATTACAGTACCACGGTGCAGTGTACGTCCAATTGACTGCGCCCAGAGAGGCGAACGTCGGGACTGGGAAACGGACGCAAGATTGAATGGCTTGAGGGGTTCGGGGGGATGCATTACTCAGATTGGTCAGGAGAGATGTCGGCGGTGTGTTTCTAAGCCTCTCAGGCCGACCATGACCTCCAAAGGCCACAGGGGCGAGGTGGAAGCTAGAAGCCTCTCAGGGCGAGGTGGAAGCTAGAAGGTGTTAAAGACCGCACAAACAGCCTCCAAGGTTCATGCAGAATTGGGCCTGGCTTCCGGGACAAAACGTTTTGAGCTAGAGTCTAGAGAAGAGCATGTCATTCTTTGAACTTTCAACAAGGATTGTGGCCCGTTTGGAAAACACAGCCCTTTCCCACGTGCCCAGGACGAGTGGGTTCCCCATTCCAAGTGTTTTCATTCGAACCCAGGACGAGATGAAGGCGCGCAGTGCCTAGGCGCAGGCATGCCGTCCTGTCAGGTTCTTCCATCGGAAGTGAAGCTATGGCAGGAAGGTGGACGCGATGCCCTTCTCGGGTTGGAAGGGCAGGGATTCGGAGAAAACACTAGGGAGGGTGGTATGTGATACTGCTGGGTGCGGGGTCCAGAGATGTATTATACTGTATACTGCATGTGGATGAACAGATGAATGTGAGGCAATCCGCAAAACCAATTACCTGAACATGTCTCCACCGTTTTAGTCCTTTCCACCACTTCTGAGCTGCGTTTCAGCAGGGCGGTTTTGCAGCATGACATGGAAGGGCAAGACTGACGCTACCTCCCTGAAATGATCAGATGGCATGCTCCCGACAGGATGACCTTCCTCTAGAAACAGATGGTGAACTCCACTTCCAATGAGAGTCGGAGAGTAGCTTTAAGACTTTAGCGTATTGGAGCATCCCTGGTCCCGAGTTGCCTTCAAGGACACCATTTTGGAGGGTACCTCTATGTTTCTCTGTTGCGTCAGGTGGTTCGGACTTCCGGGCCAAAACCCCGCAAGGCGTCCATGGACCCGCCGTAGCCTGCGGTTCGGCGATCCGTTCGGCCAAGGCATTCAGCCGGATGCGGCCACCTACAATAGTGCCATCAGCTCGTGTCGAGCTTTGCTCCGGTCCTTGCAGAAGCTTGGGCCATGGGGAGCTTTGAAGAACACCGAGACCCACCAAACGTGCATGTAGATGTAGAGACTCTTGAGTAATAAAGCTCCCTCTATTTAGCTTGTAAAGCCTCTTCATGTGGGGTAGCCTTTACTAACTAGTCAAATCTAGTCAAGAGATGTCGTCTACATGAAAGGGAGTGAACTGTTGACCGACCTTGACCCCTACTTTGCATGCCATATGCGATTGTTTTAGGTCTGGAGCGCTGGTGGGCAGTTTGTACATGCCTAGTGGAGATAGTACCTGGCTGAAGGTACTTGGCCTGGCTGAACGTAGATGTGAAAGCTGCTTTTTCTTGACCACCTGAGCCTTGAAAAGCCTTGACCCCTCTGCTTCAACTCGGGTGGCGCCTTATCAGCCATGTTTGGATGGAACTCCAGTGACGCATGACGTCAACAGTAGCCATGAAAAGGTCTGGCTGAGATGTTCAGAGAATTTATATAGTATGATAATATAGTATGCAATGTGTTTTTGACCACTGTAATTTATTGTAGTACAATATAGCAGTCCTGTATATTCCTATTGTTCATTGCATTTTATTACAATCCTTTTTTTTGGTCTTGGCAGGAACCGTTTGGTAATTGCCTTATGAACCGCATCAAGAACCTCAAGGGGGCTGGTGCTCATTTCACGTGGCCTTTTTTTGTTGCGCGTGTGGTTGCCTTGCTGTGTCCCGGATTGCTTTTGACCCCACGTCCATGCCCACAAACTATGTTAATAGCAGTCGTCCAGCGCCCAAACCTGCCCCCCAACATTCTCGTCACTCCCTCGAGCGGCTCGTGGACCCACCCACCGAGGACCCAGTCGGCGAGCCTGCCCGACCTGCGCGCGCGCGTCCGCCGCGGGCCCCGCCGGGCGCGGCGGCGGTCGCGGCCGGTGCAGCAGCGGAAGCTCAGTGTGTGACCACGCGCCGTGGAAGAAAGGGTGCGACAGCGGCCATGAGACATGAGATGTGAAGGCGACGTGGAAGTCTTGGGGTGGCGGAGACGTTGCGTGACGAACCAACCGATGCAAACGCCACAAGGGCCACACCAAGTACCAAGTGAAAGGGAGGGATGAACTGTCCGGAAGTGAAGGACTGGTCGGAGTCACCCAGAAATTCAGCTCCTTTGCCGCAGTCTGCCGCCAGTCCAGGCGCCACACAGGATCATTTATCCATCACCTTGTCCAACTCCTACTTGTTGAATTTCACACCTGAAACAGGCACAGGCTTGGTGCCCAGATAAGTGCTCAAATAAATTCAATAGATAATTCAATAAATTCCCATCACCAATTGTGTTTCGGTTCTTCACCTCTTCCTGGTCTTCCTCATGCCCCTCCCATCCTCTCTTCGACCACAGGTCGCCCTCCAAAGATGCCATCACATCGCACCGTGCAGTGACCAGCACCAACTGGAGGTCCTCCTCGAAATCTGGCCAGGCACACGACTCTCCGGGTTGGTCGTGACTGGGGTTCGAATGGAAGGGGGTTCATTGGACTCAATGTGTTTTGTCTTGGCTAAGAGGAAGGCCATGGAACGCCAACAGCCAATAGCACATCACATGTGGTGTGTGTTCTTTGCTGATGTTTGCTGTGGTAAGGCTGGTAAGGCCTTAGCTTTGGTTGACGGTTGTATCACCTGCAGACTCCTACGACCATGGTATGGAGATGCTGAAACAGCCTTTTTTTTCAGGGGCTCAGCTCCTTCGCCCTCCATCCTGAGGGCCACCTCCCGTTCACGAGAACCGATCGGATCCATCGAGTCACATGTGCAGCCACGAACGGCCTTGTTCGATTGAGTGATCGATGACAGCCACGAACACGCCCTGAAACAATCGAAGTGAAAAACAGGGCCGGAAGGGAAGACCATTTTCCTCTAAGAAATTCCTGGTCAGCTTCCATGTTTCATCTTATCTCACCCTCAATTCTGTTCCCCCGTCCAGTCAAAGTAGGTCTACCTTGATTAACAGGTCTTTTGCTCCAGCAAATCCAGCTGGCTGGCTGCCTTCAGTTTCGACATGTGTTTGCTCCAAAGTTCCACCACAGCATGCCACGTCCATTCTCCTAATACATCCGAATCCATCTTTGCCCGCGTCCTTGAATGCTGTGTGTATTTCTTGATTGCTGAGTTCATCAAGGAAATAAAAAACAACCCAATAATACTCCAATGTTGCTGCAACATGCTATACATAATTGTCTTGCAATGCAAATAGACGAGTCCGCAATACATTTGTTTAAACGTTGGCATAGCCTTCCTATCTGCACTTTGGCACCAACAACCCACCAGGCGGGTCATCCCACCTAGGAGCCACTCTCCTTGGAGCCCTTGGCGCCGTAAGAGGGCTCAGGGCGAAAACGCGTTGGACGCCAGTGGGGTGGACGTTGGAAGACTGCAGCTTTCGGCACCCCTGAGGACATTGGAAGACACCTTGAGGTCGGGACGTTGGTCAGGACGAATGGGAGGACCTTCAAGGTTGGCAGGTTTCTTTGTCCGTCCTTGCTTCCTTAGGGTTAATTTTTTGGGGTTCCTTAGGGTTCCTTGGTTTCAATCTGGGAAGCAGATGCAATGCCCCATTGAGCTTTCACAAGAAGTCAATGGCTCGTTTTTGGGCACCTGGATGTCTAAACAATTGCACAACGGCAAATAATTACGCGTACCACATGACCATGGGGAGAAGAACAACAAATGACAAAACATATCCTTTACCAAAAAAAGCGGAGTGTCGTGCTGAAGTTGACCCGGAGGTTGTGAAATGGCCCACTGTTCTGGGGAATGTCCTGCCCAAAAGGCTGAACAGAGAGGTCAGCTGTTTGGCCCCAGGTTGGCAGGGCGAGGGCTTGTGGCTGCAGAGCCTAGGTGGGGTGGGTAGACGCCTGGATGTGCCCAAAGCACCGAGAGAAGAGGAACTTCGAGTAACTCATACCCCATCGTCATTATACCCGCCTTTGTAGCATTTTGTAGCTTGCAGAGTCACCAATGTCAGAGAACCACGAAACCACCAACATTCACCAACTCTCCCGTACCATTTCCATGTAATTCGTTTGTTGAGGCGTATGACTTGCCGTCCACCAGCCGAACAGCTCTCCCAACATGTTGATCCGAGTGCGTTCGGTTCGTGGGATCTACACTGAAATCAGCATGGAAATATAGCTATAGATTATACTCTAGGAATGGAACATGGGAATATGGCCTCCGATTTTAAGACCATGAAATCCTCATCAACTAGAGAGGGTGCACAAAAGGGCACTCCACGTCCATCCTATTTGGCCCTCCAGGGGCCGCCGAGCGGCGTCGCCGCAACCGGCAGCTGCCAGGCGCGAACGCGGTGCCGCGACGCGGTGCCGGAGACTGGCGCTCAAGTGGATTCAAAGCAAATCATGGCAATATATACCCCACATTTGACCTTTTTTTTTTTGGATAGGAAAAGACCATGTTTTGGCTCCAAAACAGGGTTCAATCAGGTTCTTAGGTACATGAGGTATACATGAGGGATCATATATATATATAGGTCCAATGGGGTGTGGAAAGGGCCTAAGAACATTTTAGTGCCAGATCGCGTATGGCCTAGGATGTTACACCCTTCGTTGGCACGCGGTTTCCAAGTTGATATCCAACCTGATCAGTTGGATTGTTTCCATCTATGATCCTTCCACCCCTTTTATTGGATGAAAGCCTGGAGTGTTGCTCACCCACTCCATGATTCAATGCTTTCACCAAAGGAGTCTTGCGACCCCCGCCACCCGCGCGCAGTGATGCCACCGCGCTCCCCACCGCCACTATCCGCCACCATAGCGCTCCTGGCAGGAGGGCGGTGTCAACTGGAGGGCCGCTGAGCTGAGCAAAAGCAGATCCTCGATCCACCCAGGAAACAGCTTCCTTGTCTTCCTTGCGGTCTCTACAACTTGCCCTCCCTACGCCGGTCCTTACACATGTTTGAAGTGGAACCCAACTTGCGAAGTTGTTGTGTCCATGGAACTGTGGGGTAGGAGCACTTGAAGCTCTTGAGGGAAAGCCTAGGAAGCCAGCACGCTGAGGTTCGAGCGGAAGATGATGAAGAGCCCCTCACAGGCAGGGCATGGGGCGTGATGGGGCCCTTCTTGCCCTGGCGACTGAACGTGGTAGAAAGTCGGCTTCCAGGATGTCTTGGACAAGACTGAGACAGAGCTACAGCAACTGAGTCCAGAGTTCTGGCCACTCTAGTTGGAGTTTCTACGTCGCTAACTTTTGTGATTAAGTTGTGCCGTTCATTCACATTCATTCACTCTGAAAGATCACCAGGCACGGCCCCCACTTTGCTTCCCCAGCATGCGGGGACCCCGCGATGCTCCGTGAGGGGTCTTTGTCCACGGCTGCCTTGGTGGCACTCAGGTGGGGGTCGACGAGTTGATAACACCGCGTCGGTGTGGCACGGGTACGAATGGAAGGGGCTCTGAGGCTCGGACAGAAAACCACCAGGTGTTTTGGATGATGGACTTCATGCATAAAAAAAGTAGCTTCCAGCCATCCGGAAAAAAAATAAGTTGGACATCGGATTGTTGGAGCTGAGCTAGACTCACTTAGACCACGTGGACGGCTCACTTGACCGGTGCGAGCCGCACCGTAGACCGCACCGTAGACCGCGATCGAATGGGAAAATCGGTCCTGACGAATCGGTGCGGACCGACGTTCGTCGGGCACTGCCACCATCGGGCACTCCACGTGAGATCCATTCCAAAAGACGTCTGGCAGAAGCCAGATGGATCGGTGCCATTGACAGCATGAACACACCACCATTTACAGGGCCATTTACTGTTAACCATTCACTTCTCACAGTGAACCCTCTCTAAAGCAGCGACTTCTCGATCGGTGGATCGGATGGGACGCGCCGGCCCAACCGTTGGAGGAGGGGACCCTGCACGTGATTGGCCCACTACTTTGGGTGAGATGTTCATGACATGCAGACATGATGTTACAGTTTTCAAGCTGAGGTGCTAAGTGTTGGAAGTTGGTCTTGTGGTTGACGGTATTGAACTTAGAGACTTGGAAAGGTTTGGAAGAACCGGCAGAACTCCGCTGGGCCTCGTTCAACTCCCATGGTGGAGAGCCGAGTTTCTCTCATCTCGCACTGCCCGAGGTCTTGAAGCGAGTTGTGTGTCAGGTGTGTTTGGTCGATGTGCTCGGCACATGCGCCGCAGAAAATGCGCATGTGTTGCAGGTCATAATTTGCTCCTCCTGTACCACCTTGTGGTTGAGGCGGTTGAGGGGTCTAAAGCTCTTAGATCAGAAAAACGGCAGATCTCCAGTCGCATGGGGCTTGGGGAGGGCAGATACAGATGAAACAGATGATGGGCAGAAAGCTTGGTCCGAACCCTTTAGGCATCATTGGCTGCATCTGTATCTTATTTATGCCAGGGACTTTCCTAGTGATTCATGGTAACCTCCTACGAGGTTTGATGCGGAGCCACGTGGTGAGGCGTATACCAGTCCAGCTATAGCAGTTGTATAGATGTTCATATATATTTATAGTAATATAGTCTAATATAGTATAACTTGCATCGCACCGTTACAGCAGCAGAGACATTTTATACAAAATTATAGAAAGGTTGTAGAAAGATGTTGTATATCTGGCTGTGGCAGGCAGCAGTTACGTGGAACTTGAACATGGGAACCCAATTCTTGAATCCCTCCGGGCGTTTGTCGAGCCCTGTTTTGACCAAGAACTATGCGCCTGGAACTGACGGGCCGCGCGCTATAGGCGCTTGAGGCGCCCGGGACTGCCAGAGTCCGCTTGCACCGGGAGATGCTTCCTACCCAGAAAGCTGTAGAAGCGAATGGTCCAAAACGCTGTTGACGTTTCCCTCTCGCGCGACTCGCGCTTTTTGAGATGGTCCAGCTTTGTGTCACAACGAGCGAGTCGCGTCTTTTTTGGAACTTGAGATGGTGCCAAATGCCGTGGAGCGAAGTAGGAAGAAGACACTTCATGGGCGGCTTGCAAACCATCCGTAGTTGCAGCCTTGCAACTCTCACTTGGTGAATCACCTCTACTTTTATAGTCGGTAATTTGCTTGACTTATGGGTTTGCTTGGGTGGCATAGGGTTTCTTCCAATAATTCTTGAGCTGGGTGGGCTGCAGATAGGCTAATGCTGGGAGAAAATCAGACTGAATCAGCCACTTGCTTGTGGTCAGATAAAGAATGGAGCCCCGCTTTTTTAGGGGGAGGTCCCGATGCTGCGTGCATGCGAATCCACCAGCAGATGTCAAAGCCATGTTGCTGGGTTTTTTTCTTCCCAGCTGCCGGATGATTGTAGGCGCCAGGTGTACAGATCTGGCGACTACAAGCGAGCTGCGAGTACAGGAAAAAAGGAGGCCTGTGTGGTTGGCATTTCCCCGCCCAGTTATGAATTGTTCAGCAAAAACGCTGTTTGGGATGACGAGACTCCGGGACATGGAAGAAAGCTTCGTTGTGCACAGTTCATGGAGAGGCCCTGGGGGATCGTTCCTAAATTACTTGAAAGATCTCGAAAGTCAGTAAAAATGTGGAAGGTGGCAACCAGGGTGGAAAAACTGGGGGGCTTCAGGGATGCAGCATCTCCAGCGTTCACCACGTGTTGCAGGAGGCACGAAGCTGACATGTGAAGCAAGCTTCTTGCTGTCCCGAACGTCACAGATCGAACTGGTTCGACCCCCACAGATCGAGCTCTCCTCCCACTTCTTCCCATGCAGGAGCTCAGTCGTTGGATTCAGGTTGAGTAGCTTCCCTGACCCGCTCGCTCGTCAGGAGCTGGTGTTTATAGCGGGCATAAGATACATAAATGTCGACTCTTTGCCGGTTCGGTCCATGCGACAGTCCATGGCCGACTCGGGGGGCTTCGTCATGGTCGTCATGTGGTGGAGAGAGAGTCCATGGTTGGTTAGGTCGTTGTCCGAATCAGATTCTACAAGCTGTTGTCGCTTTGATGGTATCCCCAAGAGCCACAGTGTCCAACATCACCAGGTTATCTCAAAAGAGGAAACAAGATCTTGGGCCTACTGGTTTTTCCTGGGCTATCCTTGACCATCCTGCTTGTTTGATGATGTTTGATTGTTTGTTCATTTCCTTGGCCATCCTACTTGTTCTTTCCCTTTAGGTTTTCCAAAGTCATGAAACCCTCACTCAAAGCCTCGGCTCGAAACCCAGCCCTTTGGGCCGGTTCACGCGCGGCTCGCGCAGCTCACGCCCCCGAGATGCGCGTGCGAACGCCGAGAGGGCGAGGGCTGTTCGCTCGAGGAATCGGTCAATTGCCTTGTGCTTTGGGAGGGCCACGGGCCAAGGAGGTGCAAGTCCCAACTCTTCATCATGTTCATTCACAGTCGGTGGCACTGTTTTGGGCAGATGTGGGGTGGGTTTCAAGTTTTTTGTTTGGGGGGAACAGCTCAGTATACTCCAGATGAGATCAAACACTGTCACCTTTCGTAGTTGAGCCTTTTGGTGGTCGAAGGTGGTGGAGAGACGCTTTCGGGCGGCCGTTTCTGGGTGAAGAGCTCAGTCGACAAGAATGATTTTGGTCGGAGAGCCATCCGGAGAGCTGAGTAATTACTTGGATCAGTTTGGATCCCTTCCTACAAGAGATCAGAAGTAAGTTGGGGAGGCCAAGTAATGTGAGAGTATGTAAGTATGTCATAGTCAGTGTCCTAGTCATCCTCTTTGAGGAAAGGGTGTTGATCTTGAGTGCGTGTGCGATGTTTCGCGCGTCTCGCAGAGCACCGCCAACAATGCGGTGGATCGTGAGACGACAAATCATTGAACCAACATGAACGAACTACGCAGAGCGGAGGCTTTTGGGAGCGCAGCCTGTCACACACACAACCCACCATGCTGACGTCGAGTCGTGCTTTCCATTTGTTCGTTCGCAGTTCGCAAACTGAACATGGATCCAATCATATCAAATTAGTCGATGGCGTCAAGTGGTTTCAAGAGTCGATGGCGTCCCGCCCCTCTAGGCCGGTGCTTGGTCGTAGTGGACCCCCCTACCAGACACCAAGACCTGGGGTGCGAGCTGCAGCGCCACGGGACACCGATCATTCCCTCAGGTGGCGCGTGGGAGCGCGTTATGCTTGCTCGTGCTTGCCAGCCTGGAATCAGCATTTGGCGCGCCTGGGATGCACCACCTGGTCACGTGTGGGGGTTGGAGGAACTTTCAAGATGTTGGGCAGCAACCGGTGTCAAGCCTGGAGGTCGAATAGCACTTCGAATAGCTTTTGAGTGACGAAATGCTATAGAGATGGCTTATCCAACTCAGCTTGAGAAAGAGACCGCCAATCAAAAGAGACCGCCCCACAGGGTTAGATGTATACGCTAGGTTGATCATTTGGTACAGCCTTCAACATCCCTGAACACCCTCATCAAACAAACAACACCATATGGATCACCATATATGGAACATTGACCTTTCCTTGGCAAGAGAATGTGAAGAGATAGCTCTTCCAGTGCACATCTATGCACAAACAGCCCCCGTGTCTTCGGGGGCTGTTGGTTTTTAATTCACCAAGGCCTCCCATGAATTCCTGTGTCTTCCCTTCACCAGCCGGACGGCGATCTCAGGAGCCAGATGCTGCCGTCGAAGCTGAGGAGCTGGACCTGGCAGATCTGGAGAGCGACGAGGAGAGCTTCTCCGTGGAGCGGTCCCTGTGAACCGGTGCGTGGAGCGATCCGTGAGCGGTCGGAGTAGCGGGAACGTGAGGGGTCTGAGCGTCAATGTCTCGTTGGGGGTTCTGTGTCTCGAAAGGATTGGATTTGAGACTTGTTGATTGGATTTCGTTGTTCAATCATTGGAGACTTGATCACATTGGAGACCTATATAAAACCGTAAAAAGCCCTACTATCCGATACTATCCCTATTCAATCGAATGTGATCCTTGTGGGTAGACTGAGACATGCCGAGACATCGATCCGACCCAGAGTGGTCGGGTTGGCGGGTCCGGTCAAAACCTGGACACCGAGTCGAGTGTGAAGGATGTGTTTACCATTTCTGAATGAATGGTGGGAAGAGTAATTCATAGATGCAGCGGCTACAGGCTTCGGCGGCGTGCGCAAGAGCAAAAAAGAATGGTGGGAATTCATGGTGGTTCCAAACCAAGATCCTCCAATACACGGTTTTGCCCTGTCGCCAGGACGATGGAGGCCGGATGGGCAATCGATCCGCCAAGACGGCGGATGTCCCCCACGAAAAAGACCGGTGAGGCACAAAACAACGTAGAACTGGGGGGTGACCAAGTGCAAGCTTTATGACGTGTAGAAACCGTAGTGCTGTTATGGACGTCAACAGTTAAGGATTTTCGAAACCCGAACGCACGTCGATATGTGTGCCTACAAAGTATAGATACCCACTTGGCATAGATGTTTTAGTCCAGTTGGAACATGCACTGCAGAGGGGGGTATCCCATTCAGTGATTTGACCACTGCCGAGAATCCAGTTCTGTGCCGGACTTCTTGGGTCTCACATAATTAGTGCATGCACTTGCTAATGCATCGCTAGCACATATAATGTAGATTGCCCATCGGCAGAGTTGCCCAGAAAAGCGGTTGCCCACAGGAAGCGGCCTATAGTTGTTGAACTCAGCCATGAAGAGCCAAGAGGGCTCTTGGAAAGCTGCCAGGAAGGGTCACCAACCAGGGCCATGACTTTTTAGCATGTTTTAGCCTGGGTAGCCAGAAAGCCACTAGCAACTATACAGAGTCAACTTCCATAGACCGGGATGATCGGTTTTGGGGTTTTCAGCTCGTAGATCACCAGAGCTCATGTGATCTTCATCCTCGCTCCGAGTGGAACTCCGAAGTCGCCCCGGCTCGGTCGAACCGACTCGGTCGAACCAAGTTCCTTTCGCCACTCCGCACGGCGATCTACTTGGAAAGGGCTAGACTAATGGTGCGAACCGCTGGTTGGGTAAGCGACCGGGTCCACCCAAGACTCCTAATTTGAAGGTTCCAACATGTTCCCCATGGGAAAACCCATGGGAAAACGAGATAGGTTCCTTTATCCGGGTGTTCTTCTTGCCCCGTCGGGGCCCGTGTGTTCTTCTTTTTCGGACTTCCGAACTCAGGAGAGGCAGAAGGGGAGGCTGAGGACTTTGACAAGGCCAACGGAAGTGGAGAAGGGAACGCTTTCGGAAAGCCAGCTTAGTGGGCGTCGACCGACTGCGTCTCCTCACAGGAAATTGTGAGCTTCAAAACCACCCATTTTCGACGAAGACCGTCTCCTTTCTCCAAGCGAATTTGAGGACTTGAGGATGAGGTTGACCTCACGAAAGGCGTTGTGCAAGGGATTTCCAGGTCTTGTTTGAGGAAATCCTTTCGGGTAGGTCCCCAGCATGACCCACCCGATAGCCCCTGGGAACTCACTGAAACGCCGCAGGACATGCCCATGGAGGTTCGCTTGGTGCGGATGAAGGTGTGCCTTGCTGGTGCCTCTGCCAGGCCTGCGCCACACGGATCGGTAAGTGACGAAAAAGCCGGGATCGCCCTCCGTCTCGGAACATGGGGAAATATGGGCCACCCTGTCCCTTTTGGACCTTTTGGGGTGGGGTTCTTAAGGTATTCTTCATAATACATGTCAATGTACATTTAATTTTATAATGATTGTGTCCATAGATTACAGACGTTAGACTCGGTAGACGATGTGAATCGATGCCGAGGTCGACCCCTTTTCTTGCGCTCCCGTCGTTTTTCGGGGCCAGCCCTAAGCCTCGAGCCGCCCTGCTGCCGACGAGCTCGTGCGGCACGCCTTTGGCCGCGGCCGCCCCTCTAGGCTTCACTCCAACGCCGAGGCGGTCGCGAAGCTGGCAGAGGAGTCGCGAAGCTGAAGGGAGGTCTCTACGGTGGGGAGCAGGGAGGTCTTTTGAGTGAAAAAAGCGGTGGTTCATCGTAGCTGCTGTGGTGGGTCTTGAGCACTGCTCGTGTTGTAGTTGCTGGCAGCTGCTCGTGTTGTAGCATTGTAGCTCTTGGTTGTAGCGGGATATTTTTGTAGATGGTGATGGTCAGGTGCTGAATTGGTTAGCGGGGAAAGGAGAACTTGTTGGAGTGTTTATCGCATGAGGGGCAAGTCCAGACGCTGTTTTTTGAACCATGGAGATTAGAAGGCCATCCGCCATGATCCGCCCAAGTGTTGAGACATCTTCTTTGAGGAGCACAGGATCGAATCCAGTTGTTCAGAGTGGTTTCTCCTATTGAACAGGCAGCTTCTCCATGAAATACATCTCAGCTTGGGCAGGGTCTTTCTGGCCCACACGTTGCCCAACCCGCTTGTGCAGTTGGAGGACCTAAGAAGAAGTTTCCGGGGAAGGGGGGAAGTTGAAGACCGTTTCGCCCATGAAAGTGGGATGTGCTCTTTGGAGTGTTCATGCTTAGCCTTCATAGATCGATCCAGGTCAAGTCTTCAAAGTGACCAACTTTTAAGGCTCCATGTTCCTCACCGGCTCTTCTTTTCGTTGAAACCATCCCAAAAAAGAAGGCGAAGAAGATCCATGTTGGCATTCAAGTTCGGGTCCAAAACTAGCTCCTTATAGAGCCTTTCCAACAAAAGCTTCCCAACTCGACATCAATAAGTCTCCTCCGGGGCCCGGCGCGGGAGCGCCATGCGAGCTCCGCCAGAGCAGTCTGAGGTTAGTGGAGTCCAGACCAGGTATAAGCAAAGAGCAGGTGGGCGTGTGGGCTTTGGGCGCGTCCAAAACGACCACCGTGAGGATGGACATTGTGTGAACGACCCGGCAGGAGCGGGGTGTCCTGGCTGGACTACCCCACACTACCTATAGGCACTCCTATAGGCTTCCAGACTGGGCACCCCGACAGGAGGGTCCTGGTACAAACATTTAGAGAGAGAGAGAGAGATATATGTCGCCAGTGGAGAGGCCTTAGACCTTGGGAACGCTGGAAGTGATTGCTGTAGGGACGATCCCATGGCCGTTGGTCCACTGTTGATAGTACGACCTAGGCCCTGTTGTTTCCACATCCCAGTTTCGGCATTCGTGGGACTGTCCAGAAGCGCGTTTTCCACCTCCGATCTTCGGAATCATTTGCCCTTTCGCCAGTCGCGGCGACTTCGCTGAAAGCCATGTTCGGCTGGTGCTGTCTCGGTGACTGGAGCGATTTCGCGTGGCGGTCTGGCCAAGTCACAGCACTCCTCAAGTCAGGAACCGACCACAGAATCTCGGTAGAACATGGCCAATGATGGGTTCAACACCTTTCATTCATTTCATGTACTACTTTCCCATACTTGGACAGTGTTGCTATATTGCCATTTGTATCCATTTGTTGCCCACAGCACCAAGGACAGCTTCAGTGGGACAGAATCCTTCAAAGTACCAGCAAATTCCATCGCGACAACTCAATCCATGCACCTCCAACTTGGCACCTTTCCCATCCCAAACACTCCATGGGACTGCCATATATGCCTATACATTGACCCCCCAAGTATGGCAGTATCCACCCCAACTGATCGGCAAGTATGGCATAGTTTGGGCACGGTGGTCCGCGCCAGGCAACGAACTCGGTGTTCTTCACCTGGATGATGACGCCGGGATGTCCCAGGGAGTCAACCCGGCGGTCCCGGACGGCCCGGGTCCGAATTCTTTGTGGCGGGAGGGCTTCTTCCTCAGCAGATGGGGGGAACACGGGAAAAAAAGGCAAAGAGATGAACCAATACAATAGACATAGCAGGCTAATATCGAAATGGTAAAGGCATGTAAAGGCCGACTTGATGTTTATTTGTTTGCCATGATCATTGTTGAGCATTTTTCTTAACAGTGTGGTTAGGTTACAAGTATATCACTTTGGCGGGGATTTCTTGTGCACATCTACTCCATGGAGTCTCGGCCGCACGAGGTGGGATTTGAGACTTCACCAAGGCGAAAAGAACGAGGGCATCACCTGATATCAGCAGAACCTGTGGATTGGCTCTCAGGAACAGAATGTAAGCTCAACACAAATCAGCCCCCTCCACTCAAGATTGTGCAGGCACGCACAAAGTGGAACAGACACGCAGAGCAACATGATGCAGTGACGCAACATGCAGCATGTTTGGCGCCAAAAACTGGAGAAAGCACACAATGCAGGTATACAGTGATGTACAGTGGTGTCATTTTAGATGGTGCAAACCCATCACACATCCCCAAAAAAGCCAAAAAAAACGATGCTTTAAGAAACAGAGTTCTTGCTCGCGCTCGAAACCGGTGGCGGATTTGGGGACCTGGCAGACCTTCTGACCCAGTCGTCGCGGGGCGAAGCGGCGGCCAAGCACTGCGGCGAGTGTAGCGGACCTGTGCGAGCTCCAGGGCTCGCCACACTAGCCACTTGGATGGGCGAGAATGATGAGATATGACTTGATGAACATGCTGACAGACGTGTTTTCTGATGTTTTCTGTTATAGACAGTGGTTGTGGCACATTTGGGTTGTCATGCAGCACAGGTGGGAGCGGGACAGGCGGATTTGGGACTTTGGACAGGTGCTGCTCCGAAGAAGGAAATCGTCACGCCATGATGTTGAGTGTACATTCAAGCAGGGCTAAGTAGGGAGACCCCCAATCAACAGGTTTGGTCCATCTTCATTTTTCTCTAGAGTGATTCTAATATACAATTTGGAATCAGGTTTCCTTTCCAAGACTTGTTCCCGTTGTTTGTCAAATCACCCTCACTAAGATCGAACAGGCTAAAGATGTGCGCGACCGACCAGCATGCAGCGAACAAACCAGGAGGGGAGTCAAGCAATTGTTTGGGGCAAAGCTCATTAAGCTCATGGTCATCCATCTACACTTGATTTAACTGTTGCCGTGTTCAAACGTGTGCTCGCCTCAAGCACCTGACATATCACCAAGGGTCAGACGTACCTTTTTGTCAGAGTCAGCTAGTCAGCTGACCGGACAGCTCCAACTGGTTCTCCCATCCGGTGGCCGTCACAGTGCTTCCGAGCCGCGCCGAATGCACTGTGAGGGCGTTTTGCAACCACGCCTTCCACTTCCGCATCTCTCAGTGGCTGGACATGCGCCAGGTGCGCGATGTTTTTGGGGGTTCACGCTCATGTGGTCACCTCAATAGTCTTCGCTGTTGATCAATTGACCTTTCAACAACAATCACGACTATGCCTATGCCATCAAAAATGGAAGTATCAAATTGATAGTGGTTATGGATCGAGCATGTGTAGCACTCAATATTTCCCACCTGGGAATGAATGGAAACGATGATGTTGTCAAATGATGAGCTTTCTTTGGTCTTGGATCGTCAAAAGTGGGAGCCACCTTTCAGAACTGCAGCGGTCCACATGGATTGAGAGGATGCAGTTGGATCCAATGGAAGTGAGACTCTGAGATGGAACTCCACCAATTCGCCAGGTGTGCCGAGCATGGACGTATGGCGCTTCTGGTACTTCCAGAACGTATGGCCGAAGGATTGCCCAACTGAGCCGGCAAAAGTGGTCGTTGAGTCGTTGGGTGGAAGTTGGCATCGCACGTCGCACGTCGAAGAGAAGAACGATGCGGAGCTTTTCTGCGATGATTGCGGGTGAGCCTTGGGGTCCAAGATATTGCCTGGACGTTTTTGGGAAGCCACTTACATATAAGATCCCAGAATGTCCCAGACACTCTGGTTTGGGGTGTGCTTTCCAATTAAGGCCACATGCAAGCCGGTTGGCAGTTTGGCCCGATTGAATATTGCTGTCGCCACTGAAGTTGAAGTCATTTGATGCCACTACAGGTCATGGCAGAACAACGTTTGCATGTCAGATCAATGCGCCCCGCTGAAAAGTAACATGGAAGTGGAAAACACTTCTGCTTGGGGCTTTCGTTTGCACAGTGAGTCATACGCAAATACTTGATTTGTTGGAGTTGTGGGTTGACAATCCTAAATACACACTATAACGACCCTTGAGGGGTTGGAGCATCATAATGAATAGAGTAAATGGCTTTTGTTGCAGGGGTTCCTTTCCTTGCTGCATGGATGGATCAACATCATGTTGTTTTTTGCAAGCAGTGAAGGACCACCTTGGCTAACATCTCGCAAAAGGACCGCACATTACTTTTTGAGCTCGCCATGCTACATTCTCCCCATGGCTTCCCGTAGCCTGCGCCTCCTGGTGCTTGTGGCGTTGCTGGCGGTGCTCGCTCGCAGCCCACACCTTGGCCTGGTGCCCCGGCGCGGCGTCAGCGCGGCGGCCGCCGCCCTGTGGGGCGGAGCGCCCTTCGCAGCGCGCTGCGCGTGGGCGGAGGTGGCGCTCAAGGAGGAAGCGCCGTTGGTCCAAGGAAGGCAGGATGAATACGTGGCAAAAGGTCGCTAGCCAAGACATTGTTGGGATTTGGCGGGCTTGGCGGCATCTCTAGTAGGGGCGGATAATTAAACAGACATGGACTATTTTTAGAGCGGCTCGTTTTTGCACATGCCTGGTTGAGTTTTGTTGGATGGCTGGTATTCATCGCCCCTTTGCCTTTTTTTGGAAAATGATCAAAAGTGGGGCATTGCCACCTTTTTTTCCTACCCGTTTCATGAGGCCATGATTACCTGTCGTTGATCCACCATGGAGCATGACGAGTGAACTACAGTGTCCGATGCGAAACGGTTTTCTTGTCACTCCATGGAGCATGATTAGTTCAGTGAGGGTGAAGATGCAACAAGTTTGCTGACTTTGGAATCCCTTTCTGGTACCACTCCGATGCGCAACGAGCCGCGACTGGGCCGATGGACGGCTCCACGATGGGTCAATATCTTGTAGGTCTTGAGGTCTATAGTCCAACAAACTACCTCCACTTCCTGCCAAACCGAGTTGCTGGACCATCTCTAGGTAATGCCTACGGCATGGTCAACTACGAGCGTGCCGTCGCGACGACCAAGAAGGCGCTCTTCAAGGAGCTCTTCGGACTTTTGCCACCAAAACCGGTGATCTTGGACGTGGGAATTGGATTCTTGGCAGGTGTGGGTTGTGCATGGGGGATGGAACATGCAAACAACAGACATACATATATATTGTTGATATATACATATAGTGAAATATATAAGTATATATATATGGGAGTTGATCGAAAACCCCGTGTAAGGAGTTTTATATAAAACAGCCTTTCAGATGTTGTTAGAACCATCCGCGAAAGATTCGCGATGAGGTTCGCGAAAGTATCTTTTTTTCCCGCGAAAGATTATTTATCGAAGGTCATCGCTTTCATACGTTTTCCTTTCTAAGGGACTGACAAAGAATAGAAATAGAAGGCAATCTTCCGGCAGAGCTGGTGGGCGGAAGTGTCCCCATATGTCACAGACTAACGAATTGAAGCCTCAATATTTCCGTGCCCAGCCCTGGCAGTGCGTAAAGGATTCTCCGATTCCTGTCCCCACTGTCATAGACAAGCAACCTGAGTAGGCGCAGCCCTGACAGTGAGGCAACGACCTACAGCTGCTCTGACGGGCTGTGCAGATGCGCCAGTGAAATTTCGCGAAAGATCTGCGAAAGTTTCGCGAATGTGCCGCTAAAGTCCAGGTCCCCAGCTTGAGGCCCCCCAACACTCCCCAAGCTGCATCACCCTGTGTTGGTAGCTGGCACGAGGATTGGGTTGAGTTGCGCCACAGATGCTGCAAGTGACCCTGAGTAGCTGTGGAAACATTCAACTGGTCATGCTGCAAGATGTCTGTCCCTATGACATGTTCCGGCTGTTAGCTAGACATGGTTGTAGGACCATGCTTCGCGATGAGGCCGCGAAAGATCCGCGAAAGATATCTTTTTTTCCGCGAAGAATGGCCATTCCAGGATGAAAGAATATTGATCAACCACCATATATGTATACGCATAACCTTCGTGAGTAATTACCTATGTGTGATATATAGTTCAACGGGTTGGATTCTAGAAGTAGTGACAGCCATGTTTACCCCTTCAACTTCACAATCTTTCCAAGACAGCTTTCACATTTCACATGCTTTGACAGGAAAAGCCATATTTTGACAGGGCTTGGGCCAGTGATCCCTTTCCTCCGATTGAGCTGCCAGAGGGTTGGTTGAAAGGGGTGGTGTGCTAACGCCGAGACGGCGGCCAGATGTTCCGATCGTTTGGATTCCAACATTTGGGCAGCCCATCAACACATATCACCAAACCCGAAGCACGGAACAGAAGCCCATCGAAACATGTTGACTGTTGAAAAAGAGGTTTCGATCGATTTTTGTGGCGGATGTTTCCAAACGCCCGCGCCCCCTTTGCGCGCAAAGCGCGTCTTCGCCCTCAGGGAGCTTTCCCAACGCCGTTTACCTGGGAAACACCGATGCACCGCCAGAGATGGACATCGTGGGCGTGGACCCCAACGAGTTCATGAAGAAGTGCCTCGGCCCGAGGGGGTGACGCTCGGTTGACGCTCGGGGCGGTGACGGTGACGTCCGTTCGAAATCGAAGGACGGGAGCTTCGCGAGCGGCGAGTCCGGTGACACCGAGGAAGGCGAGCTGAATCGCCAAGGAGTCATTTGGGGTAATTCCCTATGGATCCACTGCCACCTTCTCAGAAGGTAATTGGACCCTCCTGGCGCCTACAATTCATAGTCTCCAATCACCGTACCTCAGAAGGTGGCAGTGGATCCATAGGGATTATATTCTGGCTATGTCGTCGGCCTATCAGGAGAAACGGACGAAGCCTAAGGGCTTGCGTCGAACCTGCTTTTTGCTTGAGAAACTGATGGTTGTTGAAAGTGCTGCGCTGCATATAGTTGCTTTTCATTTTCTTCTCCAGTTGCTGATTATGAGGGGCAGGTGACACATAGATCTATTGGGATGAACACATGTGCCGGCCATGTTGGCTTCTTTATAGTCGTTTTTGGGATGACTCATTGGCAACCTGCATGTTTTTAAGCGCTATGTTTGCTGAAGCTCGTGGGGCCGACCATCCCCGAGCGTTTATCATTCTTGGGTGTTGGACATGTAAAACTGTACAATCTGACTCATTTTAACATAGAAGTGGACAACCCCTGCTTGCAAAGGAAGAAAGTCGTTATATGTCATCTTCTGAGGGACCACCATTTTCCACTTCCATGTTAATGTGTCAGAGTGTACGCATTGCAGGGATTTGCAACTGCCTGTTCTCAAGTATGCTCAAATCGCGACAGCTTTGCCAAGCGGCAGTGTGAGGTATGCGCTTGAGAATGCCAAGAAGGTTTGGACTTGGCGCAAGATTGCATGGGAGGGTATTTTGACGGGAGATGAAAGTAAGGAAGCTTCAGTATACTTACCATCCTTAAATGCTTGACTCAGACTTGGGCAAAGCATTCTATCGAACGCACCATCCTGGTTCTCGCCACTGGTTCCCTGCAATCACGGCACTTTTGAAGGGTCTTGGCACCCTCTAGGCCAGGGGTTCCTTCTGAATCCTTCTAGTTACTTGACAGTGGTTTGAGAGTAGATGGCACCATCCCCCCACAAGGTGGTTTAGGAACACCCATATAAATTAAGACATTTTTTGTATTTGTACTATGTGCCATCTACTTACTGCAGTTGAAACCACCTCTGTAAGGCCTTCACCGATCCCTGCCCCGAACAGGCCGGCATCCTGGCGCCGGAGCGCGGCAACTCGCTGCGCCTCGTGCGCGGCGTCGCGGAGCGGCTGCCCGTGGCCGACCAGACCGCGGACGCGGCCCCTCGGACGATGGGAGGTCGTGACGAGCCCATCAGTTCAAGCGATTCAAGATAAGTCTTCAAGATCATTATTTTTATATGGCACCCTGTACATATATGGCACCCTTTTTCCATACTGTATAGGAAAGAGATTCGAAGTCACAAGTTTGGTCATCAACTAGTAAACTGATGTCGATTGCAGTTGATGTTTCCTCGTGCAGCTTGCTTGATCCATGGACATCATGGTGTTGAATATCCTCCACCTGCGACGTATCATACAAAAGAATACAAAAGACGCCTCACTTCCACGTTTCAAAGAACCCCAGAGCAAGAACCACGCCGCAACAACGCTCCCCGCAACAAGCCGCTAGCCGTTTAGGAAGCACACCCAGGAACTACACGTCGCCAGAGCGGGAGCGACCAGTCGCCCTCCGACAGACTGAAACAGCAACACAATAGAGTTGACGGGCGGTCCACGAGTCAAACAACAGAAGTGAAACAAATCGATGGAAGTCAAACAAATGGAAGTTCCGCAACAGATATGGAAGTCAAACAGATCAATCACTTCGGAAACGTTCGAGGATCAATTTATCCATATGATTAGCTTTGCCCCCCAAAAAAAAAACATGCCATGCATAAAGGCGCTGTTCTGGTCGTCCTTGGGCGCTGGAACCTGGTGGCTCAGGTGGTTTGCACCTTGACGCTCTGCTCGGTGGAGAACCCACCGCAGGCGCTCAGCGAGATTCGCCGGGCACTGAAGCCGACGGGGAAGTACCTCTTTGTGGAGCATGTGCCTTGGATGTTAAACTGGTGGAGGCCAGGTGGAGGTGGAACATGTGGCAGGTGGAGCAGGGGGAACATGTTGGCAGCTTTTGCCACATGTTTCAAGCTTTTGGAAAGCTGGTGGAAAATGCTGACAGCTCAGACAGCTCTGAGACAAAATTAGACTCAACCCGACATCCAATGGAAGGCCCGGCATGTTGACCATCAATATTCTTTCCAATTGAAGCCACTGGACTTCCATCTTTGTCTTGCTGTTCGAACATCAGCGGGTCAGCGATGGAAAAGGTGGCCAACCTCACAAGAAGGTGAGGGCCCAAGTGGGACATAATTCTTAAAGATAACTATCGGGTTCAAAGCGGGAATCTAAGAAGACTTGCTTTAAACTTTTTTTGGCCATGTGAAGGCATGAGATCCATCGCTTGCACAAAGAAAAATTCCGTTGAGCCACTGTTTCTTGGACACCTGAGTCATTCTTCCATATCCTCAGGGGGGCACCTCGTCCCGGTCTTCCACGCATAGCGCTCAGGTGCTCTCGGAAACGAACGCCACGCTCGCGACGGCGCCCTGGTGGGACGCGAATTCACGCGCACTGGTTCCGGCGCAACCACGGGACGGGACGGTCTTGGGGGTGGGTTGGGAGGCGACCAGTGGGGAGCACAGTCGATGTTCCAGGTATTTTCAATTCATCGAGTACGGAACAGCCGAAGAGAAGACGTGGGGAGAAATTCTTTAGACTCCCAACCTTAGAACAGTACAGTCTGTAGTGGTGTCGGGAATCAAAGAATTTCTTTCTTAAGTAAAGGGGTGCCAGTCGAAGAGTCGAGACGTACACACGTCTGAATCCTATACAGTCAGTCAGTAGTCAGTGGACAACCCTTGGACCCTTTTTTGGGAGGGCGGGGAACCTTTGTCTCCTCACTCTAATCCAAGAGCTGGAAGGAGGGACAGGGATGACCGGGTCATGCGGAAGTCTGCATAGGTTGACGGTGACTGCCCATTGGATGAGAATGGCCAGACTCTGAACGTTAAGTGAACACGTGGAGACATGTTTGATTTCGTTTGGATGCCGGATGGATTTGGATGGATTGCTCATAAGCCAAGAGATCTACCAGCCTGGCATTCCAGCAGTTCCCTTTCTCCAGAACTTCCAAGGCACGGGGTTTGGACAGATGAAGGGGAAGACAACAACTCGATAGAACAGTGGATTCGCTCGTAGCCTTAGCAACCTTTGTCAGACAGCTACACTCTGCAGATCTGCAGGCTGGATTTGCTGTACAACTTGTACCGGGCACATCATTGGACAACTTGTTTGCTTCTTTTCTTCCTGCCAGTACTGCACGACTGTACCAGTAGTGGGATTCTCGCAATTCTTTACAGACCCAATTTAGCCTTTGGATGGCAAAACATGTTTTTTGGAAGATCCGCAGCCCCTGAGACGAAGGCCCAACGACGCGCGAGCACGCCAGAGTACGTCCTAGCATCTGCTGGCTGCCACTTCGACCGTCAGACCTTGCAGACGATCCAGCAGGCCGCGAAGGGACAAGCTGAAGAGGGAACCAGAACCACCTGCAAGGGTTGGGGGAGATGGGGGGAGGGGAACCCGAGCATCGGTTACGAAGGAACAAAACATTGGCTTTTCGGTCAAGCATCGCGTGGAGCCGAGAAAACACCCTCAGGGCCCTTCAGAGGGTACGTACTTCACAAACTTGAGTTTGTTTTGCAAGGGTTGGAACTTGCCACTTTCGCAAGGGTTGGGCGGTTCGACTCCATCGTTGGAAAGGATGAGGTCCAGTCGTTGGTGGAGCTTAGCCCGCGACTGAGGCGGGCTTCGCGGAGGTCAAGGGGGGTTACTTCGAACTGGAGGGCTGTGGCTTTTTGAATCCCACAGTGGCCGGTTTGGCCACCGCTTAGAGAACGAAAGACACGGGGGTGGGCCTCCCAGAAACCCCAACGAATCGATTTATATCGAAGGGATGCATGCATGTTTGGTGTCCATCTCAAGTTATCTCAAGGGTACTGATGGGTCTTGAATGGATGTGTCATGAATTGTTGTGCCCTATTTGCCTTTACTTGTTAAAGACTTGGGAGGCCCATTTCCCAGACTCGTTCAAAGCAAACGAGGCTCGTTCAAAGCGCCGCAGCAAACGAGGCTCGTTCGCGCTCAAATCTCCTCGTGAATGCTTCGTGACAGGTTTTCATCACCGTGGGGACCTGGCAGTGGTCCACTGCTAAGCCTGCTCCAGATACTACACTAGTCACCAGCAAACTTCGGAGCAAGCTTCTAGGGCTCAAGAAGAAGCCCCATCAAAATGACACACACACATGTTCAGGGCCCTTGACTGGTTCTACAGTCCTATGGTTGGAGTACAATGTTGTGCCACCCGTAGATAGAAGATGCCCCACTATTGAGAGTGTTTTGCATGTGCTAGGTGCTTTGCGTGCCGGAATGGAAGTCCCTTCAATGAAAGGCACCTGATCTTGATATGGAACAGCCATGAACAGCCTCAGCTTATCTGGAAGGTTCCTTCAAGATGGTGCAATCCCAAGATGCTCAAGTTGTCCCTTTAGACCGTGCTTGGGTACAGGTAAGTATAAAGTATATTAATATGATTTAAACATTTAAAGGATGTGTACGTAGTTCAACCTCTTCCCCACCAGTAAGGTTCACAAGATGTGACCCACATTTTACGCCCTTCCGTCACTCGGGACATTCTGCTTGGCCCTGCTCCTCACATCATTCACGGCAGGGCCACATGAAGGGATGCCCTGGCATGGGGAACAGGTGCTCAACACAAGGACCATTGAGGTCCGGGGGCGATGAAGGTTGTTGACCGCTCGCTCCACCGGTTTGTTGGCGGAAAGTTACCTCGGTGCTGCTGGGGGTGCCTTGGCACACTTGCAGGAGCATGGTTTCATATTAGGCGTTTGTATTTTGATAGTGGGCCCCAAAAACAGGCTATGTTTTTTTTCTACATTCTTCTTCCAGGGGTTCTTGCAAACCCGTATATGCTCTCCCCAGCCTGGTGCAGTCGGGTTGGCCGCTTTTGGCCTAGCCGTTTTTGGCTCACGTCACGGCTGGAGCCTGGCTGCACAGAAGCTAGTGCCCATGATCTTTCAGATAAGAGCGGGTGGAACTTCCATGATTTTCATACGTCATGGAGTCATAGGTCTTACCAACTAGATGCCCAAGGAAGATCGTGTCAATTGACGCGGTTTGTTGATGATTTGTTGGTGTTTTTCGCTTCATATATTTCAGTTGTGTTTTAGTTCTTTCTGTTGGATGACGACTGCATTGAAACCCCCAGTCACTCCGCAGCGACAAATATGTGCTCAGCTCGTTAGCTGGACACATGGTCAAAGTCTAGTTATAAAGAAGAAGTGTTTTCCTTCCCTCCACTGTTGACAACATGTCTTACGTCTTGCCATCAACTGGACCTACAAACCAGCTCCCCCAAACCTAAACGGACCACATCATTTGAGCTCACGTTAGTCAGCCCCATGGCTTCCCGTAGCCTGCGCCTCCTGGTGCTTGTGGCGTTGCTGGCGGCGCTCGCTCGCAGCCCACACCTTGGCCTGGTGCCCCGGCGCGGCGTCAGCGCGGCGGCCGCGGCCCTGTGGGGCGGAGCGCCCTTTGCAGCGCGCTGCGCGTGGGCGGAGGTGGCGCTCAAGGAGGAAGCGCCGTTGCGGCGGGGGAGGCAGGATGAAGACTTCGCGAAAGGTCGCTAGCCAAGACATTGTTGGGATTTGGCGGGCGGCATCACTCTATAGCAGGCTAAGACTGCTGCATCTTTTGAGACACCGCATGTTCCCATGTTGAAAGACATCACTGGACGTTCTGAACTTCTCCGCATTGCATCAAAAGTGTGAAGCATTCTGAGAACCGAATACCTGCCTCCATGAACCGTGTGCTGCGCGTCCATCCCTAGGTATGGCCTATGGCATGGTCGACTATGAGCGTGCCGTGGCCAAGAAGAAGAAAGCGCTCTTCAAAGAGCTTTTTCAGCTTTTGCCACCCAAGCCGGTGATCTTGGAAGTGGGCATTGGTTTCTTGGCAGGTGTGGGTTGGGTCATTGGAAGTCAGAATCCCCAAATTGCAGACCCACCACTCAACCAGGGCAGAAGGAGGGGAAGTGTTGATCGATAAGGCGCTCAGATGATGTACCTAGCGCTTCCTGTCGGGGTGCCCTGTCTGGAGACATCCAAAAGTAGTGTGGAGTTATCCAGCCAGGTGACCCCGAACGGAAGCAGCTGGTACTGGAAAAAAAAATATTTAATTCGTATGACATATGGTGATCCCAGTGGTGATCCGGCCAAGATTTCGCCGTCGAACCCCCAGAGGTGTTCGAACACAGCCGGCTGAAGCTTGGAGAAGCACAAAAGCACCTGGACTTGCACGACTCCTCATCTTCTCACTTGGGCCCACCACGACAATCATACTCCATGCAATGGTGGCACCACCTGGGCTCCCTCAACTGCTCAGCTGTCTGAGGGAGCTTTCCCAATGCGCTCTACCTGGGTTCCAGCGACGCGCCGCCCGAGATGGACATCGTGGGCGTGGACCCCAACGAGTTCATGAAGCAGTGCCCCGGCGAACGACGGGCACGACCGGCGGTTCTGGACGTTTTTCCTAGCGCCGGTGCTAGGCTTTGTACTGATTCCGGCACTTCCGGGGGCGGGATGAGTAGAAGGCTGTGAGGTGATTTGGCCTCGCAAGCAAGGTTTGAGTTCGAGACAGGAGGCGGCCTTTATGTACTGCATATGATTCCCTGTTAGCCAGCGTATTTGGCAAGTCTTTCTAGGGGTCAATGAATAATACTGAACCTTGCAAGATGCCATCATGTGAGGCATCGTCAAAAATAGAGTGTTGGCAGCATGGAGGCAGAGTTTGATCTTGGGTGTCCTGGTGATCGTGGAAGCGCTGGAAAGCAGTGTGACACGGCCCATATAAACCGACAGAACCTACTGTCATCCCCCGCAGCATGCCAACGAGGTTTCAGGAGTCCCTGCTTGGGTCTCAGCGACGGGTTTGCAACCGCCGCGAAGCACTCGCACACCAAAGGGTGTGTGTGTGTGAGTGGCCTGTAGCTGTTGTAGTTGTTGATTTGTTTGGAAAGTTTATTTGTTTTGTGGGAGGTAGGTGATTCTGGGCAACAGGACAGATATATCATATCATATCATATATGATCAAATTAAGGCAATGCATCCAATTTCAGACTCTGCTCCAGTGCTTGCATTCATTTTTGCACAACGTGTGAGGTATGCGCTTGAGAATGCTAAGAAGGCTTGGCTCAGGGATCTCTTCAACTTTCAATTGATGTGTGGTGGGAGGTGTCATTCCACTTTGGTGTCAAGAAATCCTAGATCTAAAACCTATCCAAACACTTCTTGATCTTCACCTCTAACCGCATAAATCAGTTCTCTCCCCAAGTTTGCTCCAAATCACGTGTCTCAGGCTTCAAAGTGCCTCATACACATCCTACATTCCAAGGCCCACACTTTTGGAGGGCGTTGGCATAGAGAGGCCCTATAGGCTTCCGGGTCTCCTTCTGGTTCCTTCAAGCCCTTCCTCTGGTGCCCCGAACAGGCCGGCATCCTGACGCCGGAGCGCGGCAACTCGCTGCGCCTCGTGCGCGGCATCGCGGAGCGGCTGCCCGTGGCGGATCAGAGCGCCGACGCGGTGGCTCGGATCGACAGAGTCGAGTGGTTCGGATGCTGAGTCGAGTGGTGGGCGACGGTCACAGAGGTCCCGGAATATGACGGACTCCAAGTCCTGGTTCAGTCTTGGCCGACTTGGGCTCGAAGACAAAGGATGTATGTCGTACTGTTAGATCTTGCCATTGGGGAATATGCAGGGCACTCCCCTGTTATTATTGTTGCTCAACGGAGTTGGGAATTGGCTGCTGAAGTCTTAGAGTGATCTACGGGCGCTTCTTGAAGAGGAGGCAAATACCAGGCCGGGGAAGAGATGGCTGGCTGTTGAAAGCGGAACCCAGTCGCGTTTGGGAGGCGGGGGCTGCAAGTTTTCAACTTGTCCACTGAACGCCGCCAAGGTCTAACCCTAGGGATCCAAGTACCTTCTCAGAAGGTACTTGGACCCTCCAAACATAGATGACAGTGTCTCCAAGTACCTTCTGAGAAGGTGCGACTGGATCCCTATGGTATGTCTAAGGTGGATGAACCTTAAGAATCCGTTTCCTCCTCTATTTAGAGGCCACTTTGCTTCAATATCGTTTGCTATTTGTTGAGTTGCTGCATTTTGCTGCCACGTTTCTCAGAGCAGAAGCACAACAGTTACTCTTGCGGCTCTTCTATTTCCAGGATGCTTCACTGTTGACCTAAGCTTTGCACTCCGACTTGAAAACAGAGCATGTTCCCCAAACAAAGGCCGCTTCCGTTCCAAAAGAGACATGTCCATCTTCGTCAGTTTTCCAATTCAAACATCAATACAACTGCAATGCTTTTCTTCCAAACGTTCGTTTGGCTTGAAACGATCGGCAGACCATGCGTCGGACGATGTCTCTGTCCGACGCCATGACCCCTCACGGTTTTAGGGGCTCCAAACGCCTCCCTTTACGCTTGCCTCTTTGGCCGAAGCTCCGCGGGTCGCCCAGGTGGTTTGCACCTTGACGCTGTGCTCGGTGAAGAACCCGCAGAAGGCGCTCAGCGAGATCCGTCGGGCACTGAAGCCGAGATCCGGGAAGTACCTCTTTGTGGAGCATGTGCCTTGGACATGATCTTAAAGTAGGTATCCTAATCCTTAGTTATATTCATGACATGTTCTTTCAGCCCATAGTAATTGATTGATCATTATAATATGATGTAGTATGGTATGATGTAGTTATACTATCTGGATCGATGTATGTTTGGTGCCTGAGTCTTCAATGGCTCTGAGGTTGCATGTGTCGGTTCCT